CAGGCTGTGGTTAGGAAGAGGGCAGTACCAACTGCCTGCCAGACCCAGGGAACTGCGGAGGCAGGATGTGGAAGGGGCAGCCTGCGGTGGTGGAGGAAACAGCTTTGCAGCCCCAGGGGCCTGGGTTCTGATGCTGATTCTACCACTGGGGGACAGTCATGAGACCTTGGCAGCCCCTTCCCCGGCCAACACATAACTGTCTCTCTCTTGCTGTTATCACAAGGATAAAAGGGTGATGTTCATAAAACGAGCAGCGGGTGACTGCCACTCCAAACCCACTGCCGTCGAGTCGATTCCGACTCATAGCGACCCTACAGGACAGAGCAGAACTGCCCCACAGGGTTTCCAAGGCTGTAATCTTTACGGAAGCAGACTGCCACATCTTTCTCCCGTGGAACGGCTGGTAGGTTCAAACTGCTGCCCTTTTGGTTAGCAGCTGAGTGTTTTAACCATGGCACCACCAGGCCTCCTGACTGGCACACAGTAGGTGCTTAATAAATGGCTGCAGATGTTGTTCTTAGAAGCAGCTGGGCATGGGGTGGAGTAGTTGGACTGGTTCTTACCCCCCGAGTGACAGTCAGCTCTGAGCAGGTTCAGTGCCCCTCCTAAGAGGTGCCTGGGGTTGGCTTCATGGGGGCGAATTTCATTACCAGTCACGCAACAGCCATGCACTGAAAATCTGTGTTGGGGACCAGGGGCCTCAAGATGTGCAAAACCCAGTCCCTGCCATCACGGAACGTGGCGTGGGATAGAGACTTGCAAATAAGTGACTGTGAATTGATGTGCAAGAAAAATGATAGAAGTGTGTACAAAATACACCTACTCCTCACTGACTATCTCGTTAGCCGACATTTTGCATTTACGACAACAGTAAAAAAATCCACTATCCGACTATTTGTGCATTAATAACGTACATCTGGCGGTAACAAACGCCAAGGTGCTGGGCAAGAGTAATGCTGGCTGTGATGGTTAAGGTTACATGCAAACTTGGCTAGGCCATGATTCTTAGTGGTCTGGCAGTTATGTAATGATGTAGTCATCCTCCATTTTGTGATCTGATGTGGTCATCCTCCATTTTCACATAATGCCAGTTTTCATATAACAACATGGTCTTTGGAACCTAACCGTGTCGATGAGAGAGGAGTGGGTGTACAGAAGATGACAGAGGTGAGTGGGGGAAAGAGGAACACAGGCAGGGGAAGCTTAACAGAGGCAGGGTTTTGAAGGAGAAATAGGAGTTTTCCAGGCTGTCAGGATGTCCCAGGGTGAGTATTGCAGGCCGAGGACAGCCTGGATAGAGAGCTCCACCAGTTCAGGGGACAGTATGCAACCCAAATGTGATGGGTCACAGGAGGCACAGGGGAGATGCAGCTGGGGAGAGTGTGGCTGTATTGTGAAGGCTCTTTCATCCTGAGGACGGGGAGGGTGTGCCTGTCTCTTTCCCCCCACTCAACTGTCATCTTCTGTACACCCACTCCTCACCCACCGACACGGTTAGGTTCCAAAGACCAAGCCGTTATGTGAAAATCGGCATTATGTGAAAATGGAGGATGACCACATCAGATCACAAAATGGAAAATGACTACATCATTATGTAACTGCCGAATTACATCATTACAGATGCCAGCTTCAGACAGTTCTCTCTGGCAGCTGTGCGCAGATCAGATTTGGGTTAGGGGAGAGGGAGACAGTGTGTGGGTTAAACCTTGTCTTTGATTTTGACCTTGAAATGTATTTCTAGGGAAGCACACAAGCAAATCAGAAAGTGCTACCTAAATATTGGTTCTTGTTGGCAACAATACTGCTTGTGAACATGGCCTCAGGGGTGTTCTCTTCAGCGGGGGGATACAGTTCTCCCTCCAATCTGGGGGCTCAGTGGGCCTGAGAAAACTCTTGGAAAAGGACTTCCTGTGTCCAGGCTAACAGGCTCTGTTCACCCAAAAGGCCCAGGTGAGTGGCCAGGGAGAGGGCCATGTGGTGAGGCAGCCAAGAGCAGGCTGGGAAAGCTGCTCATCAGACAGGAACTGCTGGAGGGGACACTGTTATGGGCCTGGGCATAGAACAGCCTCAGATGCCCAAGGTCTCAGAACCCAAGGGCGTGCTGACCTGCAGATATGTGGCTGCAAGCAGTTATCCAGCATCTGCGTGAACACCTCCAGGCTTGGGCTCACCACTTCCAGGCTGCTCTGGGTTAAGCGCCCACCTGTCTCTAACCGCCCCCCACCCTGTCACACACACGCCAGCCCTGGTTCTTCCCCTGGAACTCTGCAGAACAAGTTTAAGCCTCTGTGCGTGACAGGACTTTGGTGTCTCCAGCGAGTGATCCAGCCCTGCGGGAGGGACGGTTTTGCACGGCAACCCACTAGGGCCTGCATCTCTAAAAGGCTTTGGAACTCCGGGAGAATTAGCGTATCTGCACCCCTCTGTGCCCTGGTATTTACACCATGGCAAAATTGGGTTAACGTAATACCCAGGAGGGCAGAGGATTTAGAGGCAGGCAGCAGGAGGCTGGGTGCGGGGGAGGGAGCAGTGGTTTGCTTTGTTCTCTGGGAGGGAGGGGGATGTAGCCTTCTGCTCACCCTAGCTGCCAGTGGAGAGGGGCTTCCACACCTGGGACTCGGGCCGAGCCACCCAGACCTGCCCCATACTGTGCAGCAAACCCCGCTCCCAACATTTCCTGGGAAGCCACAGAGCCTCCTGCTGAGCGGGCTGGTTCTGTAGAAATGGGTAAGAAAATCTCATCAAAGAGCACCAAAAGCATTAGCACCAGGACAGACCTTGAGCCACACATCAGGGCCTGAGGACAAAAGCAGGGCCGGGATCTGCTCAAGGTCAAGGTCTTTCCGTTCACTCAGTAATGCCAAGGGCAAGACTCCCGGTCTGGCCTCCACGCCACCCTGTGCCAGCTGAGGCCAGGGCCAAGTCTGTAGGTGTGCGGTGAGTGAGTGAATGAATAACTTGAGGGGTGGGATAATTTACTCAGCTGTTGACGGGGATCTGTTTTACGGATATGAGCATGGATCTGGATGGAGCCCATCAGCTGGACCTGAATCCCAGCTCTGCCACTGACTGGCTGTGTGACTTTGGTCAAGTCCTAAGCTCTCTGTGCCCACTTTCTCATCTGGCAGAAGAAGACTGGACAGTAGCTGCTTAGAGGGCTGAGATGGGGGTTTAGGGAATGCACTGGCTGCGTGACACTGTTAGAAAAGTGTGTGGAGCACAGCAAACTCTTTATAAGGGTTGGAGACGATTATTTCTTCCTTGCTCTCATTTCTAGCTGGTGTCTTGCTTCTCTGCCTGAAGTCTGGGGCTCTTCTTTCGTCTTAGGATGTCTCAGCCCACAGATGCAATGATGCCGAGTGTCCATGGATGGGGGAGGACTAGGGCCTCTGAGAAGCTGTCACTGAGAAGCAAGCAGGGCTGAGGCCCGTGGTTCCCAGGCAGTGGCCTGGCCTCCCCTCCCTGTCCTTCTCCGAGGGGTGGCTGACCTCCACAGGGATGGCCTCTGGGGATGGCCCAGCTCCCCAGGGCTCCCTACATCCCAAGCAGGACCTGGAACTACAGGCCACCAGGGTGGAAGGAGGGCTGGATGAGAAGCATCTCATTGGTACCTGGCTAAAGGCTGCCGGCTGACTAGTGTCCAGGAATGGGAACCACGCCTGCATCAGCCCAGGGCTAGGAGCTGGAGATGGAATTCTTAGGTCTGGGGAAACCAAGACAGGCAGGGGTTCTTGCGGACCTCAGTTTGAGGACGAAGAAGCAGGCCCTGTGGGCTTGTAACACTAGGGTGGAGCATCAGAGGCCTGTGTCTGTGGGTGCAGGTGGCGGCCATGCCATCTCTGCTCCCACCCGCTCGCCTCAGGGCCCGCCCCACCCCAGGAGCCCTGCTGGCAAAGGAATACCATGTCGGTTTTCTAAATGAGTGATTAATCCCCTCCCCTAAGAAAACCTCACTCCTGCAGCCTCCCCCATCTCAGCGGAAGGCAACATCTTCCCAGGTGCTGAGGCCAAAGCCCCAGAGTCATCCTCGACCACTCCCCTCTCCCGCCCCGTGACACTGGCAATCCCGTGCACGCCTGCCTCGGTTTACTCCTTCCACGCCTTCCTGCCCCTTGGCCGCCCCCAGCCCACTCCAGGCCTCCACCGTGTCATCTGGATGCAGGAACAGCCTCCCAGCTGGTCTGCCTGCTTTGGCTTTTGACTCCCTCATCTGTCCTCGGGGCCCTGGTGGCGTAGTAGTTAAGAGCTCGGCTGCTAACCAAAAGACCAGCAGTTCGAATCCACCAGATGCTCCTTGGAAACCCTATGGGGCAGTTCTACTCTGTCCTAAAGGGTTGCTACGAGTTGGAATCGACTCACAGTAATGGGTTTGGTTTTTCGGTTTGTCTATCTTCAACCCGGCAGCCAGAGGGACCGGGTTACAGGTCAGATCGCCATTCTCCTACCGAAAACCCATTCTCGGCTCCCGGTGTCCCTCAGAGGCAAAGCCTTCAAGGCCCTCCCTGATTTGTTCTCCACTCCTTAGGCTTCGTCTCCTGCCCACCCTACCCCACGCCCCTGCTCACTCTGCTCCAGCCACACGGGCCTCTCTGCTGGTCCTCAGACGCCAGGCACACCCCTACCCCAGGGCCTTTGCACCTGCCGCTGCTCTGGCATGTAACACTCCTCCCCCTGCTGGCCACAGGGCCCAGTCTCCCTTCCTTTGCGTCTTTGCTCGGATATCACTTACTTAGCAAGGCCTCGCTGTGCCATCCCTTAGGGCTGCACCCTTCCCGCTGCCGCTCTCTAAATACCCTCGGTAAGGGGCTTCCTTTCTCTTATTCAAAGTCTCCCCCAGTAGGCTGGGCCCGCGGGGGCGGGGCCTCGTGCCTGATTTGTCCACTGACCCGGGCCCTGACCAATCAGAACAGAGCCGGCACGCAGCCATGGAGCCGCGGACCTATGGGCACCCAGTGCAGAGCCGGTGCACGTGCTGACGGGAGGGGGCGCCCGCGGGCTACCTGCTCGACCGCCAGGTTGACCAGGTCGTAGCGGTAGGCGCGGCGCAGCGGCAGGCAGAAGCTGTAGAGCGCGTGCAGCGCTGCGCAGAAGAAGCTCAGCAGGCCGATCTGCTTGCGGTGCTGCAGCCAGTGGTCCAGCCAGTCGGGGAAGCGCAGGTACTTGGTGCCGCGCCACAGCTGCAGGGCGGCCGCCAGCACGCCGGGCAGGTACACCAGCGACAGCAGCACGTAGGCCACGCAGGGCAGCGTGGTGTTGACCACGGACACCGGGAGCTTGTAGAACTTGCTCTTGCCCTCCTGCACGTAGGGCTGCAGGACGTCCCGCACGAAGTTGTAGATGTAGAAGCAGATGAAGAGCCCCAGGGCCAGCAGGGTGGGGACCTTCCAGCCAGGCAGGAGGCGCAGCGGCATGGCCTCCACCTCCCGCGCAGACACCAGGGACCCCATGTCCACCGGCGAGAAGCCCATGGCGAGCACCAGCTCCGAGACGGTGCGCTTGGCTTCCAGCTGATTACTGCAGATGGGCACCTGTGGGGACAGGGACGGGATGTCCATCAGACGGGGTCACAGGCCACATCTCGTCCACGGCTGAGGGCACTGCGCGAGGCCCCGAGGGGCAGGGGAGTTGGGAGGTGACGGCAACTCTGACTGCCCGGCCAGGGGTCAGGCCATGAGGATGAGCCCCGGTGGCCGCCCAGCCCGTGCCCAGCACGCCCAGAACTGCCCACTGCTCAAGGAGAGCCATCAGGGCTGATGGACATCAACTGCCGCACGCAAAGCGCCCCTGGAAGCGGAGCCCACGGGGGGCCCTTGGCACAGGTGCGTCGGGACTAGGGCCCGTCCTGGGGGTCGCTCAGCAGTCGGGCTTTTTATTTTTATTGTGGTAAAAATATACGTAACAAAACGGTTGCCCATGTACCATTTTTTACACGTTCAGTGCAGTGACTTTCATTACGTTCATCACGAGCAGCCATCACCACTGTCCTTTCCAAATGAGTCTACGACCGTTAAGGGACAGTCAGGGCCAGCAACAGGGTTTGCACATGGCCCAGAATGTGCAGCTGGGGCTGCAGCTCCACCCCTCAGTCCAGATGGGTCCCCTTCGGCAATGTCCTCGGCCCCCTAGGGCCCTGAGCCCACACGCAAGGCCCTCCACGAGCGGGCCCAGTCTGCTTTCCCAGCCCCGTAGCCCATGGTAGGCTGACCAGTGTCCTCGGGCCCAGCCTGCTTTCCCAGGCCCACAGCCCACTGCAGGCTGACCACTGTCCTCGGGCCCAGCCAGCCTTCCCAGCCCCATAGCCCACTGCAGGCTGACTGGTGTCCTCGGGCCCAGTCTGCCTTCCCAGCCCCGTAGCCCACTACAAGCTGACTGGTGTCCTCGGGCCCAGCCTGCCTTCCCAGCCCCGTAGCCCACTGCAGGCTGACCGGTGTCCTCGGGCCCAGTCTGCCCTCCCAGCCCCGTAGCCCACTGCAGGATCACCGGTGTCCTCAGATCTTTGAACGCTGACCTTATTGATGCTACTGTAGTCATTCCTGGCCTGCCAAAATTAACTTGAGCACCTACTATGTGCCAGGCTTCACATACACAACCCCTCAGGCTCACAGCACTCCTGCCAGGTATGTACTATTACCCCCATTTTTCAGATGAGGAAACTGAGGTCTGGGAGCCTCATTTCTTACATCTGTGCCTTTGCCAGGTTGTCCCCTCAGCCTGGGATGCCTTCCCTCCTCCCTGTGCCTCTCCACATCAGGTGGGCCCAGCTCAAGGCCACCACAAAGTCTTCTCTAGCCAGCCCACTCACCCTGTTCCCTCCAGGCCCTGTCACCAACGCATTGCCCACCGCTCCCTGGCCTGTCCACACACAGCTGTCCCGTGACACTTCCTGCATGCAGGGGTGGCTGGGCTTCCTGGACCTTCCAACAGAGCCTGGCACAGAGCTGGGCAGAGAGGAGGGCACCTGGGCTTGACTCCTTGGTGGAAGTTCTTACAGATGTGTGGGGTCTGGCAGTCTTCCTCCAGCAAAATGCAGGTGGCCTCTTGGCATTAAAAACTACCCTGTCTTGGTAAGAGTTTCTCCTGCCAAGAAATCCACATGGCCCTGGCTGTTCTGGGGAGATCCTGGGCAGCCACCTCCACCCCCAGGAAAACCTTCTGCTGACTGTTCTCAGAAATCCACTTGGTTCCTGGAAGCCCTTGGAATAAATGAGACAGACTGGGACACACTTGCCTCCCTTTGGGCCTTGTACCCAAGGGTGTCACTTTCTTCTTTTTGAGTCCAATTCTAAAAGCAAAATCCCTCTCCTTGAGTCCAAATGGCAACAAGAAAGCCACCAACCTTTTCCTCCTTGCCCCTGAGGGCACCCAGTTATCACAGGAGAAACAGCATGGATTTCAGATTCCTATGAACTGGGTTCAGGTCCTGACTCACCTGTTGTGGGACTCTGAGTAAGGTCACTGACATCTCTGAGCCTTCATTCTCTCCTTTTTAAGATGGAGCCAGGCAGTGTTGTGATAAGAACACAAGGAGCCAGGCACTGAAGGCAGGGAAAATTAGCCGTTTATATTTATTGTAATGATGGTTCTCATTCCCCAGAACCTACCTGCCTGTTCCCATCCCTCGGGCCGGCCTGCAGGGTCCAGGCGGAGATGACATTGAAGGCCTTGACGACCGTGCAGGTGGGGAAGAGGGAGGCCAGGTACTCGGCGTTGGACTGCTGGTGCTGCCGGTGCTCCTGCTCTGTGGGGTTGCTCACGTCCACCAGGATCTTGCCAGCTAACTGGTCGCTGAGAACGCACAGCGAGGAGTAATACTCCCGGAACACAGCCACGAAGATGATCTCAGCGGAGCTCACCGCCTCCGCCTGGAAAGTCACGTGGACTGTGGAGGGGAACAGCCCGGCCGTGCGTTTGGGGTTGCGGCTCCCCACCACCACGCTGAAGCCGGAGGCCACTAGGCGTGTGGCCAGGGAGCGGGCAAAGTCCCCGCTGCCCAGGATGCCCACTCTGGGGGCCTCCGGGGGCGCTTCAGTCAGGCCGCTGTTGCTGTCCGGCAGGTGGTGGCTGATCAGCGGCTTGTCCATGTCTCCTGACATCACAGTAGCTGGAGAAGAAGGCAGGAACCTGGTCAGTGGAGGGCTCCAGATCCCCTCCCGCGCTCCCTCCTCTTGTCCATTTTAATTATGGTCAGATATTCACCCCACAGGCATTCGCTGTATGCCTACCATGGCCAGCCCAGAGGGACAGACTGAGCAGGGCGCACAGACTCAGGAGGAAGAGGGAGAAGGACCTGTCTCTGCCTTCCACCCTCGTCCTTCCTGCTGAGTTACTTCCTCAAGGTGAATCCCCAGGAGTGAGAACACTAGGAAAAGGGTGTGACATTTCCCTGACCAATGCTATGCAGGGCCATACTGCTTTCCAAAGGATTCTGTGATGGACAGGGGTGCCAGCCAGGGGTGATCACTAATCCCCAACCTGACCTTCCCTGGTATTATCATAACATTAAAAATAGATACGCAATATAAATGGTCCCTGGGTGGCACAAGGGATTTGCACTTGACTACTAACCTAAAGGTTGGCGGTGTGAACCCTCCCAGAGGCACCACCGAAGAAAGCCCTGGTGATCTGCTCCCATAAAGATTACAGCCAAGATAACCCTATGAGCAGTTCTACTCTGTAACACACAGGGTCGCAATGGGTCAGAATCGACTCGACAGAAACAGGTTTGGTTTTTGTTAATATAATATAAAGGGCCGACTACAGAGGCAAGGTTATTATAATTTGCATTCTTTGATTAGCAGGAAGGACAGACAGGCTCTTGTTCATGTTGACAGCCTGCATTTCAGAATGGTACCTCGGCCTCTCTCCCTTAAGCAGATGAGCGTCTTGAAGGCAAGGGCCTCATCTCACTGGACTCCGAACCTCGCTGTTTGGCACGGGGCCTGGCACAGAGCTGGCGCTCCATGTTTGTTGAATGACTGAATGAACTGAAATGCTGCATCCAACTTTCTGTGGGGAGAGCTGGGGTGAACTGTCCCAGTGAACAGGGGACCGGGATGGGCTGGGTGCCCTGGAGTCTCCGTTGCTAAGTCCTAGGCCTGAGTGGGCACAGAGAGCACTCTGGACTTGGGGCAGGTGTCTGCAGTCAACTTGGATGGGAAAAAATATATTTTAATTCCATCACTCTTTAAGTGAAATTTGCTGTTTCCTTCAGGTATGACGGTGAGCAACAAATAAGATACTATCGGCAGGAGCTGTGAGTGCGTCACCGATGATCATGTCATACCGCAAATGTAATTGTGAAAGAGTTCTCCAAATATTATTTAAACTCATTCCTAATTTAAAGTTATGGTTGATATTAGACTTGCCACCAGATTTTGTTATTTCATGAACACACATTATCACTACAGCACATCTTTTAAAACATAGTAACTGTGTTTCAACATCATTGGTCTCCTTTGTGCCCTGAGTCATTTTGTGTGATGCATTTAAGAGCGTCGTTCTGAGCACAAGTCCACAGGCCTCACCAACCTATGGGTCCCCAGGGGTCCTGAGCACAGAGGGGTTAAGGACCGCCGTCCCCAACCAGCGCAGCATGCGCGGGGTCTGCCTCTCCCGCCTTCCACGGCTGTCCTCCAGACGTTCTCAACACGGGGTGATGTGTGGGGGGTACACTCTAATGCAGAGGGCAGGAGAAGACCAGGAGGCCACCGCCATGGCTGTGCCACAAACCAGATGTTTGTCCCTGGACAAGTCAGCATGCCTGTTGGGGCCTCAGAGTCCACCTCTGTAAAATGGAGCTCATGATCTGTGCTCGGAGACAACAATCATGCAATCTCAAAGGGTGTTTAAAAACGCTGACATTTTACAAGGCAGCAGCAGCTCCAATGGATGGGGTGCTGAGGCAGGGGTGGTTCCGCGGCAGAATTCTGGCCTTCCACGTGGGAGACCGGGGTTCAGTTCCCGGCCAAGGCACCTCATGTACAGCCACCACCTGTCAGTGGAGGCTCCAGACTAGGAAGTCAGGCACAGTGATCTACTTCTAAAAGTCGGCCAAGGAAAACCCTATGGGTCATAACGGTCTCATCCACCACCTATCATGGGGATGGCGCAGGACCAGGCGGCATTTTGTTCTGCTGTGCACGGGGACGCCATGAGTTGAGGGCCAAGTGACAGCAGCTAACAACACTGAGTGCCAGATGCTGCTCTGAGCCCTTCGCACCAGTGAGTGTCATCTAACCCTCACAATAAGCCTGGGAAGCAGGTACTATTATTATACCCAATTTAATGACAAGGAGACTGAGGCTCAGAGAGTTAACGTGCTGAAGGCGGCACAGACGGGAAGTGAGGAAAGGCAAGCACGGAACACAGGCCTTTCTGCCTCTGCACCTGTGCTTTTGTTGTTCTCAGGCACCGTCGAGTTGGCTCCGACGCACAGTGACCGTACGTACAACACTGCCCGGTCCTGTGCCATGCTCACAATCGCTGTTATGCTTGAGCCCACTGTTGCAGCCACTGTGTCAATCCATTTCGTTGAGGGTCTTCTTCTTTGTCGCTGACCCTCTACTTTATGAAGCATGATGTCCTTCTCCAGGGACTGGTCCCTCCTGATAACACGTCCACAGTACGTTTCTGTCCCACCCCACACAGTGCAGGCAATCCCCTTAACCTCCTGCTTGTCTTTAAAGTGGTTTCGAAGCACCTCCCTGTCTGTCTCACAGGACTCCAGAGACTGGCCGAGCTGGACTGCTGTGGCCCATTCCTGTGGGGACCGCAGAGTCCACTGTCAGGGAGGCCACATCTGCAGTCAGACGCCAGCCAGGACCCGCGACCTGCTTGTGCCCGGAGAGCGCCTCCCCCAACAAGGGAAGAGGCCATCTTCTGCTTGGTTCTGCATCTCCCCTGGGTCGTCATGAGCTACCCTCTGGGGTTCCAGGTGGCCTCCTGACCCACCCCGAGTGCAGGCTGGGAGCCGTGTATCCATACAGGGACGGGCTACACTGGGCACCCTTCCTAACGCTGTCCTGGGACCAGGCTGCCGGGTCCAATCCTGACGCTGCCACTCGCTAAGCTGCGTGACCTCTGGCCTGTCCGTCCCCAGCTCTGAAATGGGCTTGCTACGGAGTAAATGAGCTGATGTCGTAAAACATGTGGAACGGTGCTCAGCACAAAACAGGCGCTCGGTGAGCGCTACTCAGTGGGGGCCAGCAGGGGCAGGGGCGAGGCTGAGGAAGGTATGCAGAAGACCCTGCCAGCACGGGGCCTGGGGGCAGGTCAAGAGGAGAATCGGGAGAAGGCCTCTGCAGGTGACCTCTGGGCTCCCCAGGCTGGAATTGGTGATCTGGCCAGGGTGAACGTAGATCCCTCCCCAGGGACCCAGCGACCCCTGTGGTTGGAGCCTGAGGATCAAGGCTCCCTGTGGGGTCAGTCGAGGCTGTGAAATACAGCAGGCCTTTCCCAGCCACTGCCCCACCACCTGGAGGCCCAGACCTGGGGTAAGTTTTACCCTTACGGGCAGGGAGACTAACCTCCCTCCACTGAGGCCCCTGGATTGTCTTTTCCACATTTGCTAGCAATTTGGAAGATCCCAAGTAGATCCCTGTTGGAAAGAAGCCTCTCCTCTCTCCCTCCCATCTCCTGAGTAAGCTACAGAGTGTAAAGATAAGTGGACACAGTCCCTTCTCCAGGATGCTGTACAATCTAGTGGGCAGGAGAGGTGGATAAGTCTGCCAGTGACTCAACAAACACAGAGCAGCAAGGGACGGGGCCCAGGACAGGGGCAGACACTGTTTCTGAGGGGGAAGCCAGGCGGGCTTCATGGCAGACACGGCATTTGATGGTCCTTGAAGAACCCCAAATGGTGTTTACAGCTTCAGAAATAAACCGAACCAGCCAAAAGGGGAAAAAGGCGGCCGGAGCCGGATTTCGAGTGCTATCTGTGCTTGGCCAGGCTAGAATCCCGAGGTGGGAAGAGGTTACTGGGGGCTCGCTCTTGAGAACCTGGCTCAGTAGTTGCTCATTTTCGTGGAGCTGAGGAGGCCTCTGCAGCGGAGGAAGGTGTGCGGCAGGGACTCAGGGACCGGGGGTTGGTGCCAGCTCTGCCCTGGAACGGCGCTGTGAGGCTGGAGCACCTCTGGCATCCTCTGGGTGGTGGTCTCTCTGACTGGGCCCCTCTCAGCCCCGACCGGCTAGCCATCATTAAAAGTCTCAGGTTTATGGCTCCAACGGGGCCTCCCTTTCAGCCTCAGGATGGATGGAAATACACATAAAACACCTCGGAAGACTCCTTGCCACCTAAACGCAGCCCTTGGCACAGCAAAAGGCGAGGTGTGGTATGTCCCCCTGCGAGGCCTCCCAGCCCAGTGGCGGCCTCCTCTGCGGTCCTGCTGCCATGACACTGCCGCGTGGGCCGGGGGAGGCGGCCGCGTGGGCCGGGGGAGGCGGCCGCGGGGGCCAGGGGTGGAGAGGGGAGGCGGCCATGTGGGCCAGGGGAGGCGGCCATGTGGGCCAGGGGAGGGCGGCCGCGTGGGTCGGGGGAGGCAGCCCAGAGGGCTCTGGACTGGCTGTGGGTTCAAATCACAGCCACACCTGCCATTACTAGCTGGGGGACTTTGGGGAAGTTGCTTAACTTCTCTGTGCCTTAGTCTCCTCGCCTTTACAATGAGGACCTCTCTCTAAGGGCTGTCGTGAGGGGTAAACGAAGTAATACGTGTAAGAGCTCCGAGTGGTGTTTTCCGACGGGTGTGCACGTGTGTGTGTGTGCACGCGTGTGTAAACACACCATCCTATCGCGTTCCTAAGGGCAGTGACCACGTCTCAGAGTTCTCACTGTCCTCCAGCGCCGGTGGGGAGGGAAGAGGACAGGTGCTCGTGTCCTGCTGCTGTGGCGGAGCCCTGGCTCGCTGGCAGTTCTGTTTACAGACTTGGGGTGAAGGAGTAAGGAGGAGGAAGGGATGAAGTCACAGGCTCAGTGGGGCCAAGACCTCAGTCTGCACTCAGGCTGCCTGCCTCCTCCTTCAACGTTGCCCACAGCAGCAACTACAAAATGGCACTGACTTCAGAGTTTTTGGCATGCAGGAGCTGGCCCGAGGCACAG